TATATATATGTATGTGTGTGTGTGTGTGTGTGTGTGTGTGTGTGTGTGTGTAAACGCAGCAAATTCATCAATGTTCTAATGATTCGGAATATTAGACACAAGCTTACGGCCATATCACGTTGAAACTACCAGTTCCCTTACGACATCACCGAAGTTAAGAAACGTCGTGCCTGATCCGTACCTAGACGAGTGCTGTCGGCTTGGATGTGCGGATGGTGCCATGTATGTCGGCTCGGAATGAGAAATTGGAATATAGAGTTCGAATTCCAGTTGGGTTCGTTACATTAACTTATGGGCAAATATCCTTGGCCGATCATAAATCGAAAACAGACATGAGCGACACATCCACCTCTACTAACACGCCCCTACTAGCACGCATAGGGGCAGCAAGGTAGAGTATGGGCCCATTCCTCCACATGAAGATATGGAGTGCCTACGTCCAAAAAAATTTGAGAAGAAGGTACAAATAAACCATCGTAATATTTAAAATTACCATTATTTATTTATAAATTTGTAGCAGCTAACAGTAATTCACAATTCCAACTCCTCCCCACAAAGACTAAAGATTACTGAAGTTATTTACATTCAACAAATGAAACTAGCCGTTAACAAAAAAAAAGAAAAAAGAAAAAGAACAACAACTATAGTCTGAAACCACATATTCTTTAATGAATGTTGGAAAAAAAAATAAACACATGGTTGTATGTGACAGACACACATTTCTCTCGCTCATTATTGATATGTCTTTTTGCGTTCTCATGTATTGGATTTAACTTTCAAATAAAATATAACGACACTTTTAACACAATGAGCTGCTTCAAATATATTTGTTTTGTATGGTGAGCGAGCCAGCGAGAGAGAGAGAAAGAGAGCGAGAGAGAGAAAGAGAAGGAGAGAGAGAGAGAGCGAGAGAGCGAGAGAGAGAGAGAGAGCGAGAGAGAGAGAGAGATTCACTTCAATTTTCACACCCATGAAGATAACTCATGTGAGTCGAATGCATGGACAGAATATGAATAACCCACATGTGGAAAAATGTGCGAATAAAAAAAAAGATTAAGAAGACATGTCTATTCTTTTTTTTATACGAAAAAATATCCCAAATAAACTGAATATATATATATATATATATATATATATATATATATATAATATACTGAATATATATATAATATATAGCCCAAATATATAATAAATATATATTTTTTGAACAATAAAAAAATATTACAAAATTATATATATATATATATATATATATATATATATATATATATATATATATATATATATATATATATCACACTGATGAGCAGTGATACCGCGAATCAGTCTATCTGTCAGATGACTATATATATATATATATATATATATATATATATATATATATATATTCAGTATATTTGGGATATTTTTCTGATAAAGGAGTCTTATAAAAAAAAGAGACATGTCTTGTAAATTTATAAATTTTACATATATATGTTTTAATTAATTATATATATATATATATATATATATATATATATATATATATATAGATAGATAGATAGATAGATAGATAGATAGAGAAAGAGAGACAGTTGATCACGCTAGATAACACGCTCTCTCCCCGAAACTGTAACTAAGGTCATGTCTTATAAATTTATTAATTTACATATATATGTTTTAATTATATATATATATATATATATTTATATATATATATATATATATATATATATATATATAGAGAGAGAGAGAGAGAGAGAGAGAGAGAAAGAGGAGAGTTGATCATTCTAGATAACACGCTCTTTCCCAGAAACTGTAACTAAGGTCTACTCAGCATAGTTGCAGTATAAACCACGGGTTTGCTCTGTGGGTGTTGAACAAACACAAATGTGCCTGAGCGAGAGTCTACAATAGGGATTGGCTAGACGACCTAGTAGACCGGTATCCTCAAATTCGCGTGACCAGATATTATTATTATCACTATTATTATTATTATTAATGGTGTGCTTATGAAAAAATAAATATGTAAAAAAAAAAATAAAATAAAAAATATCTCTTTGCGGTCGTCGATAGCCTAGGGGTTAGAATCTCCGACTAATGACAAATCAGTCGGGTTTCGGTCCCGGCTTGAAGCGATCGAATGTCTAGCCACACTGTAGAGCTGTGATACAGCGAAACAGTCTATCTGTGGATGATTATATATATATATATATATATATATATATATATATATATATTAATATACATATATATATAAGCAACCTTTCTTTTAATCATGTTTCAGTGAACATGACGGACAAGATGCTATTAATTTGAAAAAAAATGTTTTCTATTTTTTAAACGATTCACGTGTCTCTTATCTTTTCAAATTGCTATAGTAAAACATTTACCTACTCACAATTTACAAGTACCCTTCTGGTCGAAATCGCTAAAGTTGTACATAAATCACATTACCGGAAATATCAGAGAGGCCCTGTATATAAAACATCTATGCCCCCACTATTAACCTCACTTTATTCAACAGTGGGAATGGTGTGTTGAAATTTAATAAAAATATAGAAGGACGCTCACTTCCAGGCGCGCTCAACACGCGGAAGCTCAAAACAACACAAAAAACATATCTTACCAAGCCAGACATAAGGAGAAATTGACACCACCTAAACCCCCTCCCTTGAAAATAGCTAAAGAATTGTCCGACTGCTCATGGGACAATAGGTAATACGGACAATTTTTGCTCCCCCTTACTCTCGCCAAACGAAAAATATAAGACTGCTGAAAAAAACTAAACATCTCTGTCATATTCAGGTGAACGAACGAACGCACACACGAACGAACACACACACGAACGCACACACACACACACACACACACACACACACATATATATATATATATATATATATATATATATATATATATATATATAGATAACTAGACTCGTTTCGAAAAAACCCTCGAATTTTTTGATTTGCTAATAATCAAATCAATCTCGAGGGAAAAAAAAGGTTTTAAAAAAAAAAGAGCTACAAACATGAACTTCTGCCGATAAAAAAATCGCACAGATGCAGGTCTGAAGCCCAAAGAAAAAACCCCGATACGAGTAAACAACTAACAAAAGAGCTCAATACAACCGTAGAGCAGACCTAGATACACCTAGTGAGCCAGACAAACCTACCTAGGTTTGTCTGGCTCACTAGGTTTCTATCTATCTATCTATCTATCTATCTATCTATCTATATATATATATATATATATATAATTAGAATACCTAATACTACTACACAATGTATATATATGAGTTATACTGAATATATAATTTTTATTCTTTATTTTTTATGCTTCTAATAATATATATAGTTTTCTTATATATATATATATATATATATATATATATATATATATATATATATATATTATAAAAATGTTTATTATTATCATTAGTATTATGATGTTGTTGATTATGATGGTGATGCTGTTTAAATAAACACCATTTTAACCGCGTCTTCTGTGAAATTTAATTTGTATCGCTATTATTCTATTATTGTATCATTATTATTCCTCCAACCCAAATTCTTAAAATCTGAAATTATCTGGCTTTAAATAACACATAAGTCGTACAAAATGAATGAATCAAAACGTAAATATTGCAAACAAGAAAATAAACACAGACAAATTTTCAGAAAAAACAATCTATTGAAAATGGTTTCTACACTTTCTAAGACACCTGGCGATAAACTACGTCCGATAGCAAGGCCTCTCATCAGGAGGTTTTGAGGAGCGTGGAACCATTTCTTAACTGCCGGTTTTCCCAGGTCCACCCTGACCCGGGTCCCAGCTATGGTCAAATAGTTAACCCTCAAACTGGGGTCAAACACCATGAAAGTGTAAAAATAAGATCTAATGACAGAAATACGTTTTTTGTGAAAAAAAAAAAAATATTGCCAACAATACATTTTCGAAAAAAAATTATTACCGGCTATACTTTTTTTGAAAAAATATTACCAGCAATACATTTTTGGAAAAAAAATATTAGTAGCAGTAAAATTTTGTCGGCATTAAATAACCCAAAACAAAAATAAACCAAACCAATCTAAACCAAAGTTGATATACCGTAAAAATAAATAAACCAAACTAAACAAAACCAAAGAATACATATTCTATTCTTCCTAAAATGTTGTCGGCATTAAATAACCCATACGAATCTATCCAAAAAAAACCAAAGAATTTTTCTATTCGAATCATTAAAAATGTTGTCGGCATTAAATAACCCATTGAGGTTGATATGCTGAAAAACAAACCAAACCAAACCAAAAATGGATTATTGTTAGTCTAGCAGGACTGAAGCTGTCCAGGTAGAGTTTGCAAGATTCTACGCGGTCCTGTTTGTGATGAATTATTTTCCACCCTACAACCACTTTCCTACAGTCGAAAAGTTTCAAGTCCCTCCCTGTTTTATCGCTACTTTCATGGCATGTGTTTTAAGAGCTACATTCCTTAATCCCACCACCCCTGGACTTTAAAATTGGGACCTGTCATTCTGCGCACCCATCGTATTCCTATAGTAAGAAGTAAGTTCCATTCGGACAGCTTCTTCCCTAGAACTGCTGCTTTGTGGAACAAACTCACAACAAAATGTTTTCCCAATCACTACAATCTTCACCTTTTCAAGTCTAGGATTAAGCGTTACCTTTCTATAAACTTCACTTCTTTCTCCTCCTTACGTTCATATAACACCACATAGTAATCCTCTAGACTGGATGGCTCTTGGGCCTTGTATTGGGTGAACATTACCATAAAAATACCTTTGGATTGATTAATATATTTACTGTGCTTGATTTTTCCTTAATGTGTTCCGGAATCGTTTTGTCGTTGTTGTCCATTAAGGAAACAATCTGCAAGTGTATAAAGAAACAAAACAAAGAAGAGATTTAATGTTAGTTTCGATTCATTAGGTTAGATTTCTTTCCCTTGAGTAAGACAAGTGAATCATGACTTAGTCATGATAGGTCGAGGCCAATATGAAAGATTTGTCGTTAATTACATTAAATGTGACAGTTGGATATGGTAAACGCTATCATTCTTCTTCTTCTTCTTCTTCTTCTTCTTCTTCTTCTTCTTCTTCTTCTTCTTCTTCTTCTTCTTCTTCTTCTCATCAGTTTCTTTTTCTTTTTTTCTTTGTTCCTTCATCATCATCATCAACCTTATTATTCTGCTTTTTCGTTTCCTTCCCATAATCAGCTTCATGTTCTCTGTTTTCCTTGCGTCCTTCTTCTTCTTCTTCTTCTTCTTCTTCTTCTTCTTCTTCTTTTTGTATTCTTCTTCTTCTTCTTCTTTCGCACTTTTCTTCTCTTCATTTCATCCATTTTCTCCATTTGTTCTTCATTCATTTCCTCCTTATTGGCTTTTTTCCTGCTTCAAACTAACCTTTTTTCTTCCGTTTCTTTCCCTCTTTTTCTTTCTCTTTTTATGCATTTTCCTCCCACCATTTTCCTCTTTTCCTTCGTTTTCTTATCATCATCATTGTCATCATCATCGTCGTCATCATTATCGTTGTCGCTGTTGGTATTGTTGTTGCTGGTGTTGTTGTTTTTGTTGTTGTTCTACTTCTACCTATCGTCTTCCAAAATCCCCTCTCTCTCTCCTGCTTTATTACATCTTTCTTTCTTTCTTTCTTTCTTTCTTTCTTTCTTTCTTTCTTTCTTTCTTTCTTTCTTTGTGTCCTTCATTCTTGTTTCCTTTTGATAATTTAATTTTTTATTTTCCTTCCTTTTTTTTTCGTCTTTCTTTCTTACTTGTTTTTGCTTCATTTTTTTCTTCTTTTATTTCTGTCAATATTTCTTACTTTCTCGATTTATTTCTTTATTTCACTTTCTTTAGTTCGTTCTTCCGTTCTCTATCACTTTCTCTCTCTCTCTCTCTCTCTCTCTCTCTCTCTCTCTCTTTTCTTTCTTTCTTTCTTCACTCTATAAGGTTGTGATTCTTATTTAATTTTCCATATTATTTGCTACGTCGCTGTTATAAAAAAAACGGTGCAAAATCCATTTAGTTTCTAGTTTAAACGAATACCAGCGTGCCTGGTTGCATGTGACACTCCTGTGAATTTTTCCCCTACTAAAAAGACGCCTCAAATCATTAAATAACTTTAGCTTTGGACAGGTCCCCATTCTTTTGGGTCAGACCGAGTTGAAACCTGTCAGATTTGATTCAGGGTCTAGAAATATTTCTTACCACCTTTCGCTTGCGACGCGTCCCACTGCTTGCTTATTGGACGGGACGGATCCTTCATCACTTGTGTCGGCCGCCCCGTTCCGCAAGCATTTAATGGTACAATTAGTGCCAAAAGAAACTCTTCTGCTACTGTCATTCATTTTGACGGCTGCAGTAGTCAGCTTTTCGGAGTGGGATGTCTCTCGTATCGGCTTTGTCTAGATTTCTACCTCTATTTCATTTTTTTTTTTCTTCTTATTTACGCCTGGGAGACGCAGTTGAGAGGTGTTTGTGGAGATAACGGTGCTTATAAATGAAACACCTTTTGAAGAATGGAACTGAGGCTCGGGATGGGGGAAGAGACAAAATGACGCGGACAGTTGATTCAAAATGGAGGTGTAGAATATGAACAGAAAGAAAAAAATGTTGCGCTGAGTGGGCATTGCAAAATTATTCATATAGCAATTCAATTCCATCAGTAACGCTTGCATTAATTCCCGAACACTAACAATTGAATTCGTACACGTTTTCATTGTATTTCCGTAACACAAATATATACAATGCATTATATCGTAAACTCTTGACCAATATATTTACATAATGAATATTTTAGTACTGTTCTGTGCGTAATGTTTGCCCTGGAGTCTAACCATTGATAAACTTCTATCTTCGTAATTTTCAAAGAAATTCTGTAGTAAGATCATTTAATACGTTCAAATATTGAAAACATTTAATCCGCGTCTAAAGTAGAAATTTTAGGTAATGCAGTCACACTATTTTCGCAATAGCTGTATTCTGTCAGTAACAGGAATAGATGTCTGATAACTAAATATCCTTTCTTTCCTCATTTACAAAGTTAGGTTAAAAATCATTTGAAATACATTTACGGTGGAGTAATGAATAGCGGCTAGGATTGAGGAATCGGAGAGCCGGGTTCGAATTCCAGTCGAATTCATTACATTCACTTACATTCTAATACCCTTGGGGAAAGTGTGAATCCTCTTATTATCCCTCCAGCTATGGGTAAATAGCAGGACAAACTGAGTTCTATAGCATTGGATGGCAACTGGTCTACCACAAAAAGAAATGGCAATCTACTGCGGGAAAAAATCTTCCTTGTCTCATTACATGATCGCCTAAGCGTGTATTACGCATGGCACAAAATTGACTGAATACATTTATATTAGGTATCTCCAAATATTCATTAAAAAAATGAGCATACTCGATGAAAAAATGCCACAAAAATTAATAGACGGATATGCAATGTGCTTAGTCCTGTCAAGTCTTGAGCGACGGTTCGGTTCAACTCTCTGTCTACGGACGGAGAGGAACCCGAAGGAGGCTACGTCGAAGGGCGGAGTTCCTTCGGGGAGGTAAAACAAACCCCATTTATACGGATTCAAATGGGCTATTTTTTGGCCGAGCCTAATGGCTCGGAAATGCCCACGTTAAAAAGGCCTTGTGCCACATGACACCCTCGTGGGGGACGACTAAATATAGTCCTGTCCTACAGTCACTTTCTCACAGACGTGCCGTCGCTTCCCTCTGTCTTTTCTACAAGTACTTTCATGGTAACTGCTCTCATAGGCTATTTTCGCAGGTTTCCAAGCAGCATAAATTTAAGCGTGTTACTAAGTTGGCATCTCAGTCCCATCCTTTCACTGTCAAAACGGTTAAATATAGCCATCTCTTCTACTCCAATAGTTTCATATCTTGCACTTCCCGTCTGCGGAACTCCCTTCCTCTTACTTGCTTCCCTGACAGTTATAGTCTTCAAATATTCAAATGTAATGTCAATCGACATCTTCTGATACTTTGATCTAATTCCCTGTCCTTCTATTTATCCTTTCCTCAATCATGTCTCTTTACTCTTGCTCACACTCTCTGTAACTCTTTACGTGCAGGCGGCACCCCACCTTGCCAGGGGTGAAATGCTTTAAAAATAAAAACATTTGGTTTCAAAAACCGGACTTCCTCCAAATAGTATCCACTGGTCGCCATAAGAGTGGAACTCCTTTCCTCCTACTAGCTTCCCTGATAGTTATAATCTCGAAATATTCAAATGTAATGTCAATCGACATTTTCTAATGCCTTGATCCCAACCCCCTTACTTCTATTTATCCTTTCCTCAATCACGTCTCTTTACTCTTGCTCACACTCTCTGTAACCCCTTGCATGCTAGTGGCACTCCCGCTTTGCTAAGGGTGAAAAGCTTAAAAAAGATTTATTGTCTAAATCTTTGTTATTATCAAGCAGAAAGATCAAAGGATTTTTTTAATTATTAAATTATATATTTTTAATCCTTTATAGAACCTTCAAAATTTTGGTTTAGATTTTTGTTTTTCTTGCATTTAGTGGGAAGACCAAAGATTTTTATAAGAAATTTTCAAATACATTGATTTGGAAATTCTTGCCAAAAATCAAATAATTTTGAAATTTTAATGAAACTTTCAGGACTTATTGACAAATGCTTTAAATTATTTTAGAAATGTTTCTTTTTTAGAAAATCTTGTTAAAAGCATTTTCTTTACATCTGTTATCACCCCCCACCACCACCATTTATTTAATTTTATTTAAAATTTATTTAATTTTATTAAATTTCCGGAAATTAACTTTTGTATGCACAGTGGCAGTCATGGATAGCAGCTCGGATTCAAGAATCAGAGAGCTGAGTTCGAATTCCAGTCGAATCCATTACATTCACTTACGTGCTAATACCCTTGGGACAGGTATGAATCCTCTTCTTCTCACCAGCTATATCATTGGATGGCAACTGGTCTACCGCAGAAAGAAATTGCAACCTACTGCGGGAAAAAAAATTGCCACTTCAGTCATGTATCGAAAGATACATGATCGCTTAAGTGTGTATCACGCATAACTGACTGATGTCTTAATGTTAAAGCAGATGTACTTGCAGAATTTAAATCATAAATTAATTTTTGTAAAATAGTACCTACTGTTACCGAATATCTGCTTTGAATCGTCAAGTAAAAGATGCAATACAACTAAGTCTTTTGATACATGACTGACGGGGCAGATTTTTCCCGCAGTATGCTGCCATTTCTTTCTGTGGTAGACCAGTTGCCATCAAAGGCTATAGAAACCGATCTATCCTGGTATTTGCCCATAGCTGGGGGTGGGGAGAAGAAGAAGATTCATAAGCGATACACGCTTAGCCGATCATGTATCTTTCGATACCTGACTGACGAAGCAGATTTTTCCCCCAGTCGGTTGCCATTTCTTTCTGCGGCAGAACAGTTACCATCCGAGAATATAGAACCCGGTCTGTCCTGCTATTTACCCATAGGTGGTGGAATAAGGGTATCATACCTTTTCCAAGGGTATTAGCACGTAAGTGAATGTAATGGATTCGACCGGAATTCGAACTCGGCTCTCCGATTCTTCAATCGGAGTCGCTATCCATCGTAATTAGAAAAAAAAAAAATGACATATTACGAAAACTATTGTATTAAGGAAAAATAATTTGGTTCGATGAATACTGAATTTTTAAAACATTGTTTTCCTTTTTTAAAATTTTAATTGAAATACTTCATAAAGTTTAAAAATCTTTTAAAATTCTCTGTTAATTTTTACAGATTAGGAGATATTAGGTGATTACGATAATTCAGCGACATCAAGTATTTTAAAAAAGAATTTTGACTAATTTTTTACGTGCGTGCATGAACATGCCGATTCTTGTAAATACGGATGTCCATAAACGACATTATCAGAACATAAGAGCGGCAACTATAGTACATTTCAGAGAACAGGTGGAACTAAAAATGGAGATTGTCGAAACATTTGCCCTGTAAATGATAGTGATAGGATTGCGACTCTTCGACTGTGGGATTGATTTTCGTCACTGAGAAACTCAAAACAAAGAAATATAGCACCCCCAAACATTTCATTTACGTAATCTCTCTTCGAGGATTAACAGGTGACGAACAGGAAGTCATGTATATGGCGTGCAACGCGCACTGCTAATTGTGACGACAAGTACGTCACCGATTCCTGAATCGTGCCGAATTATCAGTTTTACCGGACTATCAGAGGTCACGTAATAACAATTCAATATATATATATATTGTATATACAATATATATACAAAATATATATGTATATATATATATGTATGTATATATATATATATATGTATATATATATGTATTTTTATATATATATATATATGTATATACAAAGAAATAATCACACATAGAATTAATCAGAAGTATTAATGCGATTATTGGCGACATCCATCGCTAGAAAACATAATATATGCATTAAAATCCTGTTCATCCATAGTGCGAGTTTTGATCCTTGTCGAAAAACTTGTTGTCTGTAGTTTTTCAGTTTATTTGATGTTAAAATGCTAGTACTTACGAATAGTCTTCTATTCATCATCAGGCATGTGTTTTTTTTTTCCTTATAAAATCAAAAACTTGAGACGATATACCTGTATGTCGACCGAAAGATATATATATTTATAAAATATATGTGAAAAGTGTATATAAATATAAATAAATATATATATGTATAATTATTTATATATTATATGCGCGGTACTTATTAGAAAGCGCTCAATATCAGAGATAGAGCTAACATATTTGGTTGGATATATGTAAGTTTGTGACCCTGGGTTTAGCTTGTCTGACGATCGATAAAGCGTGAAAGCCGGGGTCACAAACTCACATCTATCCAAATAAATATATATATATATATATATATATATATATATATATATATATATATATATATATATATATATATATAATATATATATATATATACAATATATATAATATATATACAATATATATACAATATATATATATACAATATATGTATCAAATTGTTATGGTTCCTTGTACCACGGGTGATAGTCCAAGGTAGAACCAATAAAGAAGAACTCGAACACAGGTATGGAATAACACAGATATATTACAAACAGGAATATATACAAAGAGGTAGAAAGTGTTAGTACGAACAATCAGGTTTTGTAGTAATTGTCTGAACGCGACTCTGTTTCGGACTGCCTCTGACTCGACTGACTGACTCGCTCGCTCTGACTGACTGACAGGCTCCTGACGGACTTCTGATGGACCTCACTCCAGACTTCAGACTGAACTCTGCTTCCTCTTGAGGCGCATTATTTATTACGTATGGAATAGTCCATTATGTTATTATGGGTAAGGTCCCATAACAACATTATATATATATATATA